AAGTCAATTTAACATCTAAGAATTTTTTCATTCACATTATACGAACAAAAATGTTTTATTAACATTTTCTTACGAGTTACTGCAACTACTCTTCTATATATGTACGCTATTTATTTTATATGTTAGTTTAAAATGATCCCTAAAGTCAAAATAACAAATATAAATGTTAAGTATTGTGTCAATTATTTAACATTATTAGTTCGTTAATAAATAACACAAGACGAATGAGTTACTTTAACTTAAAATTTAGAGTGGATCTCCTGGGATATGTAAAAAATGTTAAAATTAACATTTTCTTTTTTACTGTGTATGCGCAAATATATACGGATCTGTTGTGTTCGAGTGTCGAGTGTTCAGGGTGGCCGAGCCGATTTGACTTCTTTTCTCATCATCCCGGATGCGCGCCTGAACAGCTTCTCTTTCAGCCTCCTGCAAACGGGAAGACTCGTAGGCGCCCGCGCCTATTATCGGTCTCGTAAAAACTACGCTTTACGATTCCACCAGTCAAAACGAATTTCGAAAGTGTAGCCGGTCAATACCGTTTCAAAACGCACGTCGCGACCTTTCCTTTTTCTCGATGAAGAAACCGCGCCATGCATTTTCATAAGAATGTCCCGTCACGAATGTCCGTGAACTTCCCACTGTTACGGGAGCCACAATCCTCGTAGAAACACGTAAAATGAGACAGTTAACGGTGTGAATATCAAATTGTAAATTGGTAAAAAACGTCATTATTTTCCTGGACGGTAGCGACTGTCTAAGACTGTAGAAGACCGTGGAAGAAATGGGAAATCGTCTCGTATCTTACTTGCTTTATGTTACAAGAGTACGATTTGTGTTTTACAGAGAAATTATTTCACAATGTACATGAACAATATACTCTGGTCTAAAAAAAAAGTGTTTTTTCTCCACGTAACACGATCAAATTTTTGTGAAAGAGCTCGAGTACTCTGGCGAAAAAATGTTTAGTAAGTAATTGTGTTTATAATATCTATTTACAAAGAGTTGTGTCAATGCTTACACTATTTATATTCTATTGTATATCTTCATTGTATTTCGTAAATTATTAGCTGCATTGCAAGGAACAATTATATCACGTACTGAGGCACGCCGTAAATCTTTGCTTCGTTTCCACTGCCCATGCCGTCGCATTTTACATTCCTATGAGATCTCGATAGTTCTTTGTAGCGAGTTTCACTTCATTACTGCAAGATATTTATCTTACGTAAATTATTCAAGTCTTATTCAGTGCTTATCGTACGTTGTTATCATCTTATTTAATCAGCTAATCAACTAATCTAGCAGTGCAAAATTTTATATAGTAGCCAATTAATTCTGCAATAAAAAATATACCTTGCCAATCAAATCCTTCGTTTATTTTAACATTCCCAACGTTAGTTAACGTATATACCTGGTGCAATCTTAGAAATTAATTGAAAGTAAACTGCACAATGTCGCTTCAGGCATTGGCCTGACGTTCTACGCGCTACCGCTGACAATTAATTATCTAACGCGCGATAGCAAATAGGCATGCATTCGTCTTGAGAGAGCGGCTCGTAAATTATTTCAAGCGCAAAGCTGCGGGCTAAGTAATGCATAACGCATTAAAATCGCATCTAGTCGCATAAGTGGCCTGTCATTGCGTTCTGCTAGACCTGGCCTGCCTGCTTGTAAATGGCTGCACACACCGATTGCCCATTAAATGTTGTATTTCGACTGTCTTTCCGGGTGCTAAACTATCAACTTATAATCTACCTTGTTAAGCCTCGATATTGCCCACAGGAAAGGTAGCTCAAGGGTGCGATAATCAAAGTTGGAGAGTCGATAGTTATCTTAAATATTGAACAAAGCATTATCTTATTTTCTTGACGCACTTCTCAAAATTTCTTATGATCTTAAAATATGATGTGGGCCACGGTAAGACGTTGTAAGTGTCAAAATTGTAAAAATGCATTTTATTGTGAATGGGTTATAAGTACTGTGTTCTATCACATACTAATATTTAGCGTGGAAAGTACTGTTACAGAGAAAAATGGATAGTACAATGTTGTAAGTACATTGTGCAACTAGTTCTTTTATTTGAATTTACAACATTGAAGTTTTAACAACTTTAACATGATTTTTTTTGTAAATTAGAATTATTTAATTAAAAACTTTTGCAGAAGCTGATTAGTCATATCGTCTCATGTATCGTTTAAAGCGAGTCTAAAATCATAATTGGGATCTAACGTGAACACCCGGTTACGCTTTCTAATTTTCGACAAGTGTACGTTATCTCTTCTCTCTCTCTCTCTCTCACCTGTCATTTATTATTACAATCTCAGTAGAATTATTACTTAACTTTTACAGTGAAAGCAAAATCTACTCTTGAAATGCACACACATTTATTAACTTGGAAAAGATCAATTCGACGCTGACTAATGAATAATTTGCCTTTCACTATACGCACTTAATATTGACGGAAAAAAATTAAGTCAAGATCATCCACGTTGGTGGTCGAATTTATCCGAGATTTAATTCTTATTTTGCATTCGAGCAATCAATTAAGATATCAAGCCGATAATCGACTCTCGTGATACAAAACACGGCACGCAACATTTATTATTTTGTCAGCAAATTATGCGTGAGTTCTTCGTTAGTCGATACCGGATCGCCGAAGTAATTATCGCGAAGTAGAGCCTTAATGAGCTGATAATTTGAATCGGATATTTATGGCTCGTAAAGAACAAGCATCGTGGAAATTCTTAGACCGCTCTCGGGGGAACGTTTCCCTTCTCGTTTCTTCTTTTTACGAATAACGATTCGCGAAGCAAAGCTCGAGAACTTGCGAAGCTTTGCGTCTTTCATACATGCGGCTTTAACGAGCCGTGCGTGCGAAGAATGTGCTCGCGTTACCCTCATAAAGAGATGTAATCTTTTACTGCCATCCTTGTAGAATACACTCTTTTCTTTGTTTTTTTTTCGTCGAGATATATTTTTACTTTGATGTAGTCGCAGTCAAAGCATCGCGAAAATATCTATTTATTTCATGGGAACTTGTGAATTCAATATTATTCTCTTAAGTAGGTGGTCTAAAGATAGACCTATCAATAAGAACCCGGAAGATCCAACCACTGCAATGCTGCGGGTCTTGTGCAAGGCATCGCGATTTCACAATGGGTCGTAAAGCAACGCGAGTGTACGCTGGTGTACGCTCGCGAGCGTTTACGCGGAAATTAGATTCTCCGGGTCGGGTCGTAACACGAGCCCCGAAATGTCATCGGGAGGGAATGAACGAGCTTGCTGCGACGGTAATAACGAATTAGAGAACCGCGGGCTTTTGATAGGGTAATTCCGAGGGTAGGCTCCGTGACACGGGGTTGGCGATCCGGCTATTCTCAGGGTTGTTACGTCTAGACACGGCGGGGCCGCGTGCACGGGTCATTTCGACTTTCAGGTGTCCGTAATTATTATCCCCAACGTGCGCTCTCTCGCGCGTTGCGAGCCGAGAGTTTTAGCTAGCATTCAACCCGCGGCACTTAAACGCGAGCCCTTTCCAGCCTCGCGCCCTATAATTTTCGAAATTCACCCCCTGATTTACGGCTCCGCACCGGGATTGTCTACTAAAAGAGGTGGATCGCTCACGGCTGTCGGCTCTTCGGTTTGATCGCCCGACAGAATTGTACATACCGAGTGTTCCACCCCAAATTCCACGGTCGTAGAGAGAGAGAGAGGAAAACGAGACCATTCGTTCTAAAAATTTTTATTTACGAGACCGTTTGCCGTCGAATTTTCACAAACGTACTAACTACAATCTTCGACTATGTGTGACATATTATGAGAAGCAAATTTTATATTCATGTGGAATATATTTGTTTGATATAAATTTAAGCTTGGCTTTATCTCTAATTATACAGGGTGTTTGATAATTAATGAAAAATCTTTTGCATAGAGGCAAAATGGACTAAACTGAGAAGAAAAATCCTCTACAATTTTGCAATTTTTGCAATAGTTAACAAGATATTAATTGCTAAAAATTGCCGAAAATTGATTTTCAATAATTTTTTTACTCAAAATCTATTCAACTTTACAGAAAAACGGTAAGAGACAAAAATTGTTTATTTTCTTCTCATAAAGTTTTGAGAATTTTTTTAGAATTTTTTAAGACCGTATTTTCTCATGTTGGTAAAAATAAGAAAATGCAATACTAAAAAGTTGATAAAAAATTCTGAAAAAATTCTTAGAGCTCTAT